GTATCACAGGATTATATTTTTGCTGCATTGCCCACCATTAGCTCTAAATACCTGAATTTGGTGTTTGCATTTTCCCTACTAATTGCCTTGAACCAGAAACTGCACGTGTCCATTACTGCAGCAATGCTTCTTGTGACTTAGCAGGTGATCTCCTGAGAATGGCAAGAATCAATGGGTTGGAAAGCCGTGTGTTTAGCAGCAGCCTTTCAGGAGTATATCATGCGTGCGGAATGGGTTTTGGGGCTGTAAGAAGGATAAGCAGGTGTTTGCGAGAGGAAGCGCTTCTAATCTCAGTAGCTGTCCATTACGGTGGAAGCCATCATCGTCTGTAGTGTAGCATAAGAGCAATTCACTCAAAGCCAAGCATTGCTTCATTCTGCTTTTATAACAGCTGTTTGTAAATAAGCATTCGCTCTAGTTGCTGCTATGCTTCCTGTGCAGATTTAAATTCCAAGCGGCTCCTCTCCTCACCGAGAGCACGCACACACGGAGCAGTGATCTCCAGCCTTTCAGACAGACCACAGAAGTAGCCGACGAGGAAGAACATGCATGCAATGTCCAGAAAATCAGTTTGCCAGTGTGTCACGGACACTCACACAGATAATGACTGACATCACCAGCAGGGATTGACTGTGTTTTACATCACTGCCAATTGGCGCCTCAATCAAGGGCACTAAAGCAAGACAATGTTTTCAGCACACATCAGTGTATTATTACATTAGTGCCTTCTAATAGGAGATTAAAGGGGCTATGTCCTACATTTTTACTTGTATTTAATTTTTTTCATTTGTCTGGGTTTATGGACCAAAATTGCCACAAACATGATTATATATGACCATTTCCCAACCTCTCTTTTTCCTTTTTTTTTTTACTTTTTAACAAGAAACATTTTTAACTACCAAACTAAATCGGAAATATTTTTATTGTGCAAAACAGTAAAACAAAACTCCACAATATCATTATCTATAAACCTATGTCAGTTTGATTTGTAACACAAGCTCATCGGGCCTGGAAATAATGGTGCTAAATGCTGTTTCCTGTCTAATGAAGTTGAGCAGCTTTTTTTTAAATCTTCCGTTCCACCTTAAATGGAGCAGCAGTTGCATTCTGGCATCTGTACAGGCACCTGAATGTAATTTTTCAAGTCATTTGTCTCATACATGCGTCCTGCACACCTTCAGACTGTCAGACGGTGCTGGAATTTGAAAAAAAATTACAGTCGTTCATGCTTCAGTACCAAATGGTTCACGGCTTGTTTCGCACACAAGGCCCTGACATCGTCTGATGCAGCTGACAGAGTCAGGCGGCTTCTCTGGTGGTACGAGAGGAAGCATGGCAGTCACTCTGGTGTTCATGTTAGGTCAAAGCTAACCCTGAAAGACCGGCCGCTCCTTTATGTCTGCAGCCCTGAAAACAAAGTGGACTACTTCAGAGGGAACGGACTAGACAGTGCAAGGTGATCGAGGGTCTGCTGCGTTTTCGTTTTCATCTAAAACGTAACTCAGCCACTCAGCTAAAGGGCTTAACGTTAGTTTGCTCTATTTGTACGCCATGTTATCTGTGCTTCTTTGCAGCATATTGTTACTATGGTTTAGAACAGAACTCATATCGGAGGAAGAATTTCAACCAGTATATCGCCCTTTACTAGGTCAAACCTAATTAATACTGTACTCTTTATTTTTGCCAGACGTCTTTCTCAATGTCTTGGTGTTTGGAATTGAGATCATTGTGTGGAATCAACTTTTGGAATCAAACCGTAGTCGACTGCACAACTTCCGGAACAGAGCAACTCTAACTTGAGCAATTTTGGATATAATGAGTTTTTGAAAACACATTTTTTTATTTCACTAATAAAAGTGGTATTAATCATAACATAGTAGTGATATTTCTTGTACGTGTGAAGCCCACTCCCAGCAACATATATCATGAAAAACCTTTAAATTGGTCTATAATGTATTTTGGAACAAAACTCTTCCTATGCTAATGACCTCTGTTCTGATTGGCTGCCCTGTATTGTACCTTGTTCAAAGAGCAGTCCATACTGAAACACTACTTCTAAACACTACTTATAACTTCAAAATGAATAGGCTAAACTGCTGTATATTGGAATGTGTGTAAACACATCTGTTTTGTGACATCACAAGAACAGTAAATAAAGAGATTTTATTCTAAGCAATTTTGGCGTTTCGATTTTTCGGTCCATCACAAAATTTTCACATAATGTAAAGAAAAGCTGCCATGCTCAAATGATGCAGAAAATTAAGAATCGCAAAAATTGGAGAGACATGCTTTTCTTTGGACAGCGATGATATATATATAAAATACTGTATAAGGCTGTATAGACTGAGGAGTGAATGGTTTGTTTTTAAACTTGATAATGTTTACATCAAACTCGTGTATTTCAGAAAAGTGAGGAATATTCAGTTTTCCATGATCTGAGCTCTTGAAAATGAGTTATTCTCAAGAGATGAAAACATATAAGAACTGAAATCTCCAACCATGGGTGCACTACTAGAGCATAGAAACATGTCAATTGGGAGTGTACTGCCTAACCTCAGGCATTCCCTAAGCAACCTCCATGTGTTTTGGGTAAATTACAGGCATTCGCAGTCTAACAAAAGCACATTTTGGTCAAAATTACAAAGCTTTAGCTCTAACCATGTCACATGGAAATGTCAAATGTTCACCCATGTGTTGATGCATTGCAATGTATTGCAACAGAGTACATAATACAATATCCCATATTGTGTGTCCTACTTTTCAGAGACCCCAATATTTGCATGAATATTAAGATAAGGCCATAATTCACTGAATAATATGAACATATCCTTTTGGATAATTTCTGCAAGTCTGTTGGGCACATGAGGTCAAAGACAATTCCAGCATTTACAAAGCCAAAAAAACGGGGACTTAACTTCACCACAGTGGCCATGACTCATTCAGTATTCCCATCAGGATGAACTCAATGAAATAAAAAGGTTTCCCTACACTTGCACTGCTGATTAAATTATTCAATATGGTCATTACCATTTGCAATAAATATCCATGACCATAATATCTCTCAGTACAATTTGCAGTCATAATCTCATAGATAGGCCTGTGGCAATCCTGAAACATCCATGTCATCACTTTGAGTAGTAAAAAGCACAATTCATAATGGTTGAAAACTGATTTAATCTGCACTCCCAAGCCATATCTTTTTCCATCAGCCTATAGCGACAGCGAAACCTTCATGCTGCCACTTTGAACACAGAAAAGCACAATTCATAAAGGCTGAAAACTATTCAAATCTGGAATCTACCGCCATAATCATGATTCATAATGGATGAAGTCTGTTTTAATCTCTCCATACCTCTTCCATAGGCCTGTGCCAGTACTGAAACACCCATCCCATCACTTTGAATACTGAATAGTTTTAATCAACAATCTGCAGTCAGTCTCTTCTACTGGCCTATGTCAACACTGAAACATCCACACTACCACTTTGAATAGCAAAATTTGCAAACATCCTCTCCATCATAGGCCAAAAGCTATGATGAAACAATCATTCTACCACTTTGAATACTGAAAACACAATTCATAATGGTTAAAAAGTGTTTAACTGTTCAATCTGCAGTCTTGATCTCTTCAACATGGCTTTAGCTATAATGAAACATCCATACTACCCAACCTGAATAGTGAAAAGCAACATTCACAATCATAAAAAACTGTTTTAATCTGCAACCAGCAGTCATAATCTTTTCCATGGACTTGGTCAGCGGTGAAATATCCGTCCCATCCCTTTGAACACTGAAATGCACGATTCATCATGGTTAAAAAATGTTTAAATCTGCAATCTGCAGTCTTGATCTCTTTCATATGCCTATAGCTACAATGAAACATCCATATTACCACTTTGAATAGTGAAAGCACAATTCGTCATGGTGAAAAACTGTTGAAAAATGCAATCTGCAGTCATGATCTCTTCCACTGGCCTATAGCTATAATGAAACATTCATGCTACCACTTTCAATACTGAAAAGCACAATTCATAACAGTTACAAGTGTTTAAATCGACAATTCGCAGCCACAATCTCTTCCACTGGCCTGTAGCTATAATGAAACATCCATATCACCACCCTGAATAACAAAAATCCACATTCACTATGGTTAAAAGCTGTTGTAATCTGCACTCAGCAGTCACAATCTTGTCTGTAAACCTGGTCAATACTAAAATGTCCATCCCATCCCTTCCAATATCGAAATGCACAATTCATCATGGTTAAAAAAGGTTTAAATCTGCAATCTGCGGTCTCGATCTCTTCTATAGGCCTGTAGCTATAATAAAACATCCATATTACCACTTTGAATGGTGAAAGCACAATTCATAATGGCTGCAAACTGGTAATGGTTAAAACTACAATCTTCAATCATCATCTCTTCCACTGACCTATAGCTACAATGAAACATCCATACTACCATACTATCACCCTGAATAGTGAAGAGCAACATTCACAATGCTTAAAAACACTGTTTTAATCAGTAGTCATAGTCCTTTCCATGGACTTGGTCACTGCTGAAATATCCATCCCATCCCTTCGACTACTGAAATTCCCAAATCATAGTGGTTAAAAACTATTTCAATGCAATCATAATCTCGTCCAGGGATTGGGTCTATAGTGAAATAGCAATCGAATCCTGAACAATTCATAACGGATAAAACTGTTTAACTACTGCATAAGGGGAAGATTAAATGTACAGCATGCAGTCAAATCTTCCCCATAGTCCTCTAGCAATAATGTAACACTCCCTCTACCACTCTGAACACTGAAAAGTACAATGGGTGTTTGAAAACTGCGCTGCTCTCCCGACGCTGCGCTCTTCCACACTCATTGCCTACCAGCGCACAGAAACTGCCGGACTAACAGCAGCAGTGAAGGCTCTGACCAGCGCTGCCCAAAAGCCCCAAGCAGGGCACTTTTTAACGCCCACTCAGAGTGAAGGGTAACGCTCCCACTCACCGGATATCGCCGCCTGCGGGACTCCGCCCGGCGCGAAGCCCTTCCCGCTGTAGAACTGCCGGACGTCCGAGCAGCTTCTGGGCTGCTTACTGTCCCCGCGCGCCTGCCCGGCGAGCACGCACAGGACGAGAGCCACGCGCAGCAACATCCCGGTCAGCGGAGGGTGAAAGAAGCTTCTCTATACGGCTGCGACGCTCAGGTCCGAGAGAGAGAGAGAGGGAGAGAGGGAGAGAGAGAGAGAGAGAGAGAGAGAGAAGCTGAAAACGCTGTCGCGGAAAGCTGTCCCGTTAAAGGGCATCCACAGGAGAACGGAGAGAAAAGAGAGCGAGATCCTCTCGTGCTGCCTCGCGCAACTGAGAGATGCACTGATTAGAACAAAAATCTCGCACACGCGCTTCGTTCCCGCGAGTAATTTCCTCGTTAGTCCGCGGACTGGGGCTCGTCTAGACTTCCCTGCGTCTCGTGGGTTTGTTGATGTCAGAGGTCTCGTCCACCTACGAAAGAAGCGAAAAACACGTTAAAATAATGAAAAATAAGAAAAAAACGGAATGATAAGGTGTGAAGTCGTGCAGTGGAAAGGAAAGCGTACGGTAAACGGGAGCAGAGTGCGGCTCCGCGCGCGTGCCCTCAGTGCGGGGTTGGTGACAGGAGCGCTGTGTGAGGGTGAGCTCGCGGCGGCGGCGGCGGCGCGCTGACTGGCCTCTCCAAGCTCAAGGTACTTTTAGACATTAAATGACTCTGTGAGGTGGCCTCGCGAGCTGGTGCTCAAATAGACACGCCCCCTTCACAGCCTCACAGGCTGGTGCTTTACCTAGCCCCGCCTTCCGTGCAGCCTAATTGGTGGGTGATTACATACCCCGCCCCCTGGTACAAGTCGAGCGGACAACATGCTACTGAAAAATGTAAATAAAATACAGTTTCTCGTTCTGCTAATGTGGCTCAGTGTCAGGGTCACGCACAGAGGAGAACAAGGAAAACCTAAACATAGATTAAACTTAATTTCATTTACAGCATATTGTTATGGAAGCCCGTTTCTGCCACAGGAGAAAAACATACAGCCAATTAGGGAGTCATAATAATGAGGGAGATTTCCATAATTATGGCTTAGTTTCTCATAATTATGACTTGCTATCTCATAATAACGAGGTTTCTCATAAATATGACTTAATCTCAATAATTATTTGCTATCTCGCAATAATAAGAAATTGTTCTAACAATTATGAACGTCATAATTATGAGAAAGTAAGTCATGATTGCGAGACACTAAGTCATATTTATGAGATACCAAGTCATAATTATGACAGTTATTATTATGAGATGCTAAATCATAATTATGAGACTAAATCACATTATAATGGGATACTAAGCCATAATTATAATTATTAAAGATTTATTTAATTATAAGATAATTAAGTCACAATTTATGAAATGTTTAGTCATTATTATGAGATATTAAGTCATAATCATAATTATGAGATGCTAAGTCCTAATTATCAGATGCTAAATCATGATTTCCATAACGTAAGTCATGATTATAAGATTGTAAATCATAATTATGACATAAGTCAATATTGTGGAAAGCTAGGTCATATTTATGAGATGTGAAGTCATAATTATGAGAAAGTAAGTCATGATTATGAGACACTACATCATAATTGTGAGATAAAATCTCATTATTATGAGATACTAAGTCATAATTGCAAGGGGTAAAGTCATAATTATGATAAAATAAGTCATAATTCTGAGGTGCTAAGTCATAATTATGATAAAGTAAGTCATAATTATGAGGAAATAAGTTATAATTGAGAAACTTAGTCATGTGTATGAGATGCTAAGTCATCATTCTGATAAAGTAAGTCATGATTATGAGATTGTAAATCATAATTATGACATAAGTCACTATTATGGAATGCTAAGTCATATTCATGAGATACTAAGTCATAATTATGAGAAAGTAAGTCATGATTATGAGACATTACATCATAATTGTGATATAAAATCTCATTATTATGAGCTACTAAGCCACAATTATGAGAAAATAAGTCATAATTCTGAGATACTTAGTCATACTTATGAGACACTAAGTCCGAATTTCGATAAAGTAAGTCATGATTATGCGATTGTAATTCATAATTTTAAGTCAATATTATGGAAAGCTAAGTCATATTTATGAGATGTTAAGTCATACTTATGAGATGTTAAGTCATAATTATGAGGGAACTGAGAATCAATGTTGAAAAACTGCAGAAATGTAGAATGTAAGATGTTCCCATCAGTAATAAAAAAAAAGAATTCCAACACAGCCCTTTCTCTGGTCACATTCTCTACTTTATGACTTGCCTACGTTTCCCTTCAGCATTCCCACCACTCAATTACCCAGGGACCCATATTGTCTCATTAGTCAACTCTGAGATCCTACTTCTGCTCTTGAGTGGTTGAATGCGAGCAGTTAGGGTGAAAGACAGAATAACTGAGCTCACTTGTTGACCCCAAGACAGGAAGTGATGTCAAGCCTCTTCAGTAGCCGATGGAGATGGGCTTAGGTTCATGAGGGTCTGCTAAAGCGTCTCTTCCAGAAGATGGGATGCTGCTAGCCCCTACGGCTTTACGGAAATGTGGCGTTTTGATTGGATTTAGGCAGCTTGAGCCCTGATTATCAGACTCTGTGGACGTTAGGCTCATTCAGATTGCACTGCTCCTGCATTACAGGCAGGGATAATGGAGCCTGAGGAAGAGATATTTATGTGGAAAATAAGCAGGCGGAAAAAAACATTTACAGTAATTCATGTAACATTAGCACCAAAACCACTGACTTTGGGCCATTTATGGTGATGTATATACACAGAAATATGTATACATGGATGTATGTGTGTGTCAATGGTCAAATGATGATTTGTTGATTTGAAATTTAGTACACATCATCTACAGAGAACACACCTCTGCATGTTAATGCACAATTACTGTTTATGCTCTGAATTTGACATATTGAGGAAAAAATAAAACATAAAATGTGGCATGTGCAAACGTTATGTCACCTTTTATGTTTAATTTTTTTCTCTATTTTGTCCCCAAATTAGACGTATCCAGTTCCACCCACTAGTTAGGACCTCCAATCACGCGATACCACCACCGCTAGGAGGGCGAATGCTAGCACAGGCTTCCTCTAAGACCTGTGAAGCACCACCGCATCTTTCTGAACTGCTGCTAACACAACGTCATTGGACAGCTGAACGCGCTTGGAGGAAAGTGCCAACCACCATTTCTGTTATGTCAGCTAACAGACGCCTGCGCTGGCTAGCATCACGCTGGGTGATGGGGGCATCCTACCCACCCAGAGAGAGCGGGGCCAATTGTGCTCTCTTGGACTCCTGGCCATGGATGGCTGTAGCATCAACAGGGATGGAACTCGTGATCTCCTGATGATAGGGCCAAAGTTTAGATGGTCGCGCCACTCAGGAGCCCTTTATTCCAGTATATTAAACCCAGCCAAAAAATATTGTAGTGACATGCTACTGGCTGACGCTGGCCACTAGATGTAGATGGCCATGCCAGCAGTCTCATGGCGGGTGCACACCATCCAGAAAAGGGAATGTTGTTTATGTTGCTGTTCGTCAGTTAAAGGTAATTGGCACGTGTTTATTGTTCTTTCATCAGAAGTGGGTTTATTTGGTGTGAGTCTGTGGTCATCGTGAGGGTGAAGCGTATGACTGGCGGGAACCTCCTTGTGAGAGCACTGCTTTGTATGTGCCTTTCTGCCATCTCGTAGTGGAATTATGGCCTCCACTGTCTAGTCTAGGGCAAAGCTGCAATATAAACTGTGTGCTAAAATTTATAGCAAAATGCCATACATAAGGGTGTTCTCTGTAGAGGGTATGTCAGCTTATTGTCATGGAAAATCAGCATAATGTAATTTGGGAATGTTCAAGCTTTTGCATAGGACTGTACAACTATCACTTTACCAAAGTTACCTTGAACAACCTTTTTTCAGGAGTGTAGATGACATTTTGAGCCGTATTCCCTCTCCAGTGGACAGGTCGCATCCTGAGCAGCTTCAAAAGGTGCCATAAACTACTGAGCATGCTACTGCTTGCCCTGCATCTACTTCAACCACACTTTTCCTCAGTGGCCTCTGTGGTTCTGAATTCTTCCACACTTTCTGCTGGACAAACAGGATAGGAAGCATTGCTATACCTTAAAAGGAACAGACAGTGGTTGGGGTGACAAATATAAGGCCAGGAAATGAGCCAGATCATTTTTAAGTGACGAAAAGTGTGCGAGTGAGTGAGAGAGACAGAGAGAGAGAGATGGAGATGAACAGAAGGTTGGTTAGAAACAGCAGGACGCTTAATGACGCACTCTAAAGTGGAGAAAAAACACATACATGGATGTAACACTTACATAACACCACAGTAACGCTGGTTGCCAAGAACATTTGTGTGTGAGAAAAGTGTGTGCGCACCTGAAACTGTTTCACAAAGTTGCCGTGTGAAAAACCCTCTATGTGCTTTTAGGAATCATTACTTCTTTTCTTTGTAACCAAGGCCAGACTTCTCCAGAGATCTTTCACACGCACATCTGGAGGTCTATAAAACGTAATATGGACCTTTAGAAATCTGTATCGCAAAATACACGATCAGCTATAACTTTAAAATCACTGCCTTGTTTCAACACTCATTGTCCATTTTATCAGCTCCACTTACCATATAGGAGCACTATGTAGATCTATAATTACAGACTGTAGTCCATCTGTTTCTCTGAATACTTTGTTAGCCCACTTTAACCCTGTTCTTCAATAGTCGGGACCTCCATGGACCCTCACAGAGCAGGTATTATTTGAGTGGTGGATCATTCTTAGCACTGCAGTGACTCTGACGTGCTGGAGGTCTGTTAGCGTGGTACGAGTGGATCAGACACAGCAGTGCTGCTGGAGTTTTAAACACTGTGTCCACTTACTGTCCACTCTGTTATACACACACCTACCTTGTCAATCCACCTTGTAGATGTAAAGTCGGAGATGATAGCTCATCTGCTGCTGCACAGTTCGTGTTGGTCATCCTCTAGTCCTTCATCAGTGGTCATGGGATGCTGCCCACAGGACACTGGCTGCCAGCAGTGACACTGAGGTGTTTTAAAACTCCAGCCGCACTGCTGTGTCTGAGCCACTCATACCAGCGCAACACACCAGTAAACTAATGTTTACTGGTCTTACTTTGTCTCCTTTATTAGTCAGCATTAAATCTGTCAGCTTAATCACATATTCATCAGGTATAACAACTCACTTTTGCCCTTTTATCAGTGTTATAACAGCTTATTAATGTTTTTAAAGTGTTTATGAGCTAACTAATAACCATGAACAAACTCATTTTAAACCATTCCTAAACGCTTTATAAGTGTAGTCTTAGGTCCAATCCCCTTTCACCCCTTGCCATTACCACTTAGCCCTTACCCCTCCATTTTGCGTGTTCACATCTAGGGGTAGGGTGTCCCGATTTTTGTTGAGATAGAGGGGTAGGGCGAAGTGTTGGGGCTATATTTTCAGAGTCACACTCCAAGCAGAGAGTTATGAGAAAAAAAAAAAACAGCAAAATGGCTGCACAAGCGACCAAAGAAACCCACAAATGTGAGTATTTTTTCCATTAAAAATTCACTATAACTACTGTATTATCTTAGTTTAATGTTGATTTAATATATTATGGTCCTTTTCTTCATAACAAGCATAAAAAATTGCTAGTAGTATGTAGATGTCTTGGTAGCTAGCTAGCTAAATTTCCCGTTTCACCTTAAATGGTGCAGCAGTTACATTCTGGTGCCTCAGGCCTCCGAATTGCTGCTCAATTTAAGATGGAATGGAAAAATTCTGACAAGAAGCTGGCGAATAGCTGACTTCAGCTTCATATCACTGAAGAATTAGGGCTGGGTGACAATAAATAATTGTCCCCCTTTGAAGGCATATGACGTCCTAAATGTAACAAGAGCCCAGCAGGGTCACCTACAGAGCAGCGCTAATTGCCTGTTAATGAAGTAATGCTCTTTTTTATTTGAGGGTCCCATTTTGTAGGGGAAGATTTCAGCCACTAATTCTTGTAACTCAGTTTCAAGGGGCAAAGTGACACCATTAAAAAACAAGGGGTTTGTTGATGTAGGCTATGGAAAAGGAAACTGCTGGTAGTATTTTTTGAATGTTGACAAAACTTTTTTCATTTTGACCATCTTTCTGTTCAAAAATTGTTTATTGATACCTGTAATGGTAAAATCTACATTTTTTTTATTTTAATGTTTCAATATTTTTTTTTCACATTAATTTTGTGTCACAAACTTTCCTTATGTGCCTCTTACAACAAACACAAACAGGCTGAGAAGGAGACGAGAAGAGGCAGTATTAGCAAGGTTGGGGCTCTAGGCTAAAGACAGGTATGATGCACACTGGATGCACATTTTTAAAATGGTTGGAGCTCTGGGCTCCCAAGTGGCGCAACCATCTACACTGCAAAATAGTACCTTGGCAAGTGAAATAACCTTAAATCTCACCTATCTAATGTTTCTCATTTAGAGATGAGTTGTAAGAATATTCTAAGATTATTTAAGTCACTTCTACACATTTTTTACTTTAAAGTCATTTTATGAAGTAGAATGATTTCACTACATTTGTAGATCATTTTGCTTGTGTTAAGAAATATCCTTCAAACAAGCAAATGTATCTGTCAATATAGTGCGATAATGTGGAACAGAGTAATGCAGAGGTAAAGTAATAAGAAAATACTCCCATTACAGTTTGAGGGCCATAATTAGTAACTGAGTAATGGACATCGAAGCCATCTATACCAACTGTACCAGCATTATGTGCAGTTTGCTGAGCCTGTGCAGTGCTCTGCTCTGACTGAAAAAAAGAAAACAAAGCTTTGAGAGAGTAAGTTAGCAACAAATGTTTTGTTTTCCCTCCACTTTCCCTCCCTTCTTTCCAATCACAAACAACAGCTATTTTCATAATGCATATATAATTTTGGACTAGGTCATTTAACGTCAGCACACAGTGTTGAATAAATGCTGTTGAATATTTTTAATGTTCTTTGGCCTTTGGCCTTTGGCTCATGGGGGCCGTATGTGGTAGCCTACCTTTTCCTACACTGGAACTGAAACTGTCACTGGGGCAGTACCCCTCTTGTCACTGGGGTGGTACCCTTAAGGGTACATCTCAGTACCTTTAGTCAGGCAACATAATTATTGAAATTATGTTTTCTAACTTGTACTGACTCCACACACCCCGTCTCGTCTCCAAACTTTTATTGTATTGTTCTGTTTTAAAACATTAGGTTATGAAATTGTACAAATATGTACTTTTCACCTGAAAAAAACTTATTTAAGGTACACAATTGGACCTTAAAACAACTGTTGTATCTTTGAGGGAACATTTACATTGTTTGTACCTTGATGAAGGAAACATGTACCTGCACAGAACCTTTATTTCTAACAGTGTAGTGCAAAGGCTGCCTCTGGAGATGAGAGTGCTTTTAAAAGGAATGCTGCTATGTTTCAGCTCTTACAGAGGGAGATATTGACATAATAATAATAAATATGAAAATAAAAATAAAATAAATAAACTGTCCTTATCATTAGTTTATGAGTAGGTCTGAGAAGAGAGGATGTACATATATATATATATATATATATATATATATATATATATATATATATATATATATATACACAGTATTTTATAAATGAATAAAACATTATGGAAATAACATTATTATTTTAACGTTATATTAACATTATTTTATGAGTGACCACAGACTACAATCTGTAACTGTAGAACTACAAAGTGCAACAATATAGTAAGTGGATCTGATAAAATAGACAATAAATAGACAATAGAGTTGGAATCCACAGCTAACATTGGAATAAAGAAGAATCTCTTGTGTCCGCTGTTACCTAATACAACACCTGAATCCACCTTAATTCACTAATATAATAGGAATCATAACAGGAGCCACTGATTGATTTTCCACCTGTATTCCGACAAATCCCCGCCTAATGTGACCGACTAACCAATCCTAGCACAGGAGGCGGGGCTTTGTGAGAAAGGCGGGAACATGGCGTCTTGTTGGAACGACGTAGGTGAGCTCACAGTGAAAATGCAGTTTTTTACACCACTTAGGGCAAAAAAATGTACTCGAGAGAAGCGGTTTAAGTCTCTGTCCTTTGCTTATTTAAACAGTTTCTAAGTGTGAATAATCTAAACAGCTCTTAGACCGTCGAGCTATTTGTGGAAAGAACACTGGAGAATGGAAACAGGGTTATTTTCCTCTGACAGCTGAGTTACTGAGGAGCGGAACGGGACCAACGAATTAGACAAGACCGCCATTTACAAAAAGAGAGAGAGAGATTAGAGACGTTCCGTCTATTTTTGGACAGAAACGTGTACGGAGAGAAAGGGAATTTCAGACATGTGTCTTAGTGTCTCGTTTGAACCCTCAAAAATAAACAAGTCACCTGGAAACTCCATTAAAACGCAAATGTCCCTGTGCAGCAGAAATGATGGAAGTGCTTTAAGTGCAGTAGACAGGCCCAATGGTGGAGAAGAGGGAAGAGTGGCTTGAAGACAGTATTACTGGACCCTGCAGCTGTAAGGATTAGATCACCAGCACTTCCAGGAGTTTCCAAAGGCTGCCGATTGACTCCAGACAGGCCTATTGAAGTTTAATTAGACTTAACCATGAAAGAGCCTCCTCCCTAATGAGGAACAGGTGCGTGTATGTATGTGTGCGTTGTTAATGATGTGAGAGACACGTGGATATTTTGCTAGTATCCTCTTGCCACTGTTTCGGACCTGGTCACCTAGAGCCAGTGTGGCGCAAGAAGGTAAAGAGCCGTAATTTGACATGATTTGAAAGCGCTGAGGATATACTGTACTGTGAGAAGTTCTAAGGCTTCATATTTAAAGATAATTAGTTAATCTGGGCAGTAAGTGTGCAGAAAGAAAGTACTCATTTTAGAATAAATACAAATAACATTAATACAGTAAGTTATGTTTTTGGTATGTCAGTGTTTTTTTTGTTTGACCATTTCAACACCTCTCCTGCTGGCAGCCAAGTATTGTTTTTAGTGATCATCAAATACTGGTTTGGTTAATCAGTCCTTCATTAAATTAAACCAGGTTTCATTTAATGAAGGTGCTGATCAAAAAGAAATTGATATCTTTTGAGTGTAAATTCCAGATTTCTCATCAATTCCCCAGCCATCACATGGATTGAACAAAACAAGTTAATGTTAAATGGCTAGTTGTAGAGACACTTACGGACTTATTTATACAGTTATACAATGTCTACAATGCAAATATAGCCATTTTATTTACTATCCAAAACCTAGTGAACCTACACAAATTCTCTGAGATTTTATAGGTAAGTTTCTCTAGAAATGAGTGTTTGACACCAAACCACTCTGAATGACATCTTGTAAATAAAAAAAATAATGGAAGTCCCCTTTAATCTGACCGCAATTATTTTCCACAGTTGTTATCTTTCACAATCATATATTGACGTCACAGCGAACAGAATGTGAACGGGATGCGTTTTCATCTGTTGAGCTGAGGCAATTGTAAATAAAAGAAAGGAGAAAATACATTTCTTATGAAATTGTGATTTCATAAAAAGAATAAACGTTCTAACTTCTGACTTGGTGCTCCTGTAGAGGGCAGCGGTGAGTAAAGTTTGTTTATTTGAAGGAAGCAAGATAGCTAATCGTACTGTAATTTTTGAACACAATGAGCAAATATATATATGTGTGTATGTATGTATGTATATATATATTGCGATGGACTGGCGACCTGTCCAGGGTGTATCCTGCCTTCCTTTCCTGCCTATATATATATATATATATATGTATGTATGTGTGTATGTATGTGTGTGTGTGTGTGTGTGTGTGCGCGTGCAAGAAGTGTTGTAGGTTATATGTTCTGCACAGCTCTGGTCCTGGAGGGCAAACACACTCACTACATTTGGCAATTAACATATGAGTTGAATCAGGTGGGTTTGAGCGGGTAACCAGAGTTGTGCAGGTAAGGGCTCTTATTGTTTAAGTGTAGATCAAGGAGAATCGAGAGTCAGTCTACCACTGACGGCTGAGAAAGTAAGACGTGGTGAGGCTAGAGCGAACTGTTAGAGACAATTCTGTAATGTACTGTATTACTAGCCTGCATTCAAACACACACGCATATTCACACGGCTGTGTGCAGGAAGTGTATTTATTATGAAACTACTAATAAAAGTGTATACGAAACTGAAATTCAGGTGATTTTTGTTTCATAATAGGTTTGCCCTGAAGCTCACATGGGATGTATGAAGAGCTACAGGGAAAGAGATGAGCAGAGAAGAATGTTGGCATTTGTGGCCTGCAGACTGTACTGAGAGAGGAGCAATCTTAAGGGAATGTGGTACGCTTATACACACACACACACACACACACACACACACACACACACACACACCCCTTCTAGAACGCAAAGGGGAATTCCACTGATTATTAAAAATTTTGGTGGTTGAGATGTAAACAGAGTCAATCCAGAGTGGTTGGATGTGAAATGGATCATTGTAAAGACTCATATTTCTTTAAAGTGGTGGAGGAATCAGGGGCCGCCATGTCTGCAACACAAATATAGGCATTTTATTTACAGTCCAAAACCACCAGTGGACCCACACATGTCTTCTGTGTTTTATATGTAAAGTTGATAATAATAAAATTGTGATAAATCTAAAACTGTTGCATTTTGCCTCATGCCCTGAATGCACATCTCTACCTTGAATTGTTTTTCTTTTTTCTTTCAGAGGCATTAAGTGCTTCAGATGTCTGGTTACTACCACTACTGTTGGGATAATTCTGAGTCTGTAAGTTTCTCTAGAACGGTGCATTTCACATCAAACCACTATGGATTACTTTGTTCATGCCTTAATGACTTGATTATGCAAAAATTCTGAAAATTGTGGAAGTTCTAACTGAGCCCCTAATACTGCATTTAAAGCTGTGACCGCTAGGGATGTGCATCATTTTTATGTTCAAGTATCCATAAGAGTTAATGAACAGATATCCAGTTAACCACAGGGAAGAAAAAAGCTAACAACAAAAAGAAAAAAATAAACTTCAGCCAAAATTAGTGTAGGGCTTTAAGCATACTTTTTAGATGATAGCACTGGGTGTTAAAATTTAAAAACATTTTTTTTTATTCAGAAATAATAAAATAAAATAGTAGTTTTTTTTGTTGGATGAGTAACCAAGGCTACCTCTTCAGATGAGCTGATGAGCTAACTCTAACCAGTACACAATAGGATGTTGATGAGGACTTGTCTTCTACACAATCTATTTCCTTCTCAGGAGACAATGTGCCAGCTTGTTTGTCAGAGAAATATGTTTTCACTCTGCCTAGACCTGGCTAATGTCCGCTAGAGTAGTTCGCTTATTTAATGTAGTGTTGTAGCTCTAGAGTTCGGTCTTTAGACCATAAATTAATGGCCTTGGCCTTGTTTCAGTCTCAACATCATTTTAAGTCATTCTCATGCCTCTGAGTTATTGGATATCAGTAATATCTTCAAAAATAAAATATGTTTATATGTTTATGTAAAATCTGTTCACTGCCAGTTGAGGACCTAATTGATCTTTTCCATGGTGGCTTAACTTGTTGTTTTTTTTGTTTGTGGATTTTCATTGGTTCCAACATTCAAACATCTCATGAGGGCAGATCAGAATGTTATTACTGTTTTTAATTAATAATAAAAATGTAAGTAAGTTGTGTGATTTACATTCAGTTGGCTTTAGGTGGTGATTCTGAATACGTTTTGGAGAAGAATAACTTCATCCTCATTCGATCCCAAAAGTCACAATGCAAAGCCAGATGAAGAGTATAATAATAATAGTAATAATAATAATATAATAATAATAACAGTAATAAAACAACAATAATAATAACAAATTTAGGCTGTATATTATTTCACGTTATATTTTGCTAAATATTTGAAAAATGCAATATTATTTATTACCATGTACTGGTGCAAAATGAATGGTAATGAATGAACAGAGAATTACATACATACATACATACATCATCTAAACTGCTTATCGTTCTGGGTCGCGGTGGGGTGCTGGAGCCTATCCCAGCTGTCATTGGGCAGACAGAGAATTACAAAACAATTTAATTTTTTTCTTTTTATTTTTATATGGTGAAAAAAAAAAATATCCGGTCTCTGTCTCACCACTCTTAGTCTCGGTCTTGGTCTTGTAGTGGACTACAACACTAATGGTGCCCATCTATTTAACCCTTAGAAGTCCAGTGATAACAATAGCATGTTGTACTTTTATAATAACGTTTCATTCATAACTTAAGCTAAACACTCAGCTAAATTCTGTTGAAAGTGCAGATTATAAACTTATATACCACATTTATATAGAAGCGAGATATTATTATGATTTGAAATAGCTTAAAAGTTACTGTGGTGTATACAGTGTTGTTTCACAGGGAGAAAAAACATCCACACACACACACACACACACACACACACACACACACACACACACACACACATACGCGTAGGAGACAGTCCCACACTGATAAAACACATTCTTTTTCACAGCTTTGACACCAAGATTGGAATAATTGATAGAGATAATCAAGATATTATTATTCAGGCCAACTTTTTTTCTTCTTTCTGCTGGGTGGATGCTAGATATCATCACCTATCCCACCCTAATCTCAGATTTATTAGACTAATCTCTAGATTACACGCCTGAAGTTCAGCCTCTGGGACTTCTTTCATTCAGTGGAAAAGAGATTTACGCAGGATCAAGAGCACATCCCGACTTAACTGTGTTTCAACAAGTGTCCAACATGTTGTAGCACTGTGCAGTTAGTTGCTAATAACTGTAAACTGACAGAGGGAAAGTGCCTATTCATTTTATAGCCAGTGTATGAATAACAGGGAGGTTTGTGAAAAAAGGTTGTGGGCATTTTTAACAGGTACATGTACTAAATAAAATTTTAAACACTAAAATGTCTCCCCAGTCATGTCAGAAAGACACTATTTACATCTTTAACTGTTGGTACTGACTTAAGCTTGCCTCCCTATTTACAAGTTCTTATAAAGAGAAAATGTAAGGACACTTAATTATTGCTATTTCACAATATTTCACGCAATTTTTTCACAGTAGAACATTTCATTTGTGAAGTCAACTCACCTTAAGAATTAAAAATTACATTTAAAAATTAATACTTGAAGTATTGTGTCCATAAACAGTGCAAGTAAGTAATGCAACTAGTAGCTTGTAATTGTACAGTGATTTTTTTTTACAGTGTATCTAGATTTCTTCGTGAATAGTGACAAGCTTAGTTTTGAAATTGAAATGTGTTAACTGCCACATGTGTTCATTTGCCACCCTGTAGAAAGGAGGTTGTTTTTGTAGAGTGCTTGAGCACAATGCTATCTATCCACTGACGTTAGCTGGCAAATTCTACCATTGTTGTCCAATTTCTCATTTTTAGCTATGCCATTTTTGTATATTTTTAAGCTATGCTATCTAATAGCTAACTGGTTAGAATTAGCTACTTAGAATTTTACTACGAAAGAATTTCTGCAAAATGAAATGTGTAAGTTGTTAGCAAAATCATCTAGTGGTGATGATTTTGAGTGGTTTGGTGTGAAATGCTCCATTCTGGAAACTTTCGAGTCAGAACTGTTCACAGTGGTGGTGATAGGAACCAGATGTCTAACGGGTTTACCGCCTCTGAAAGCTCCGTTACAGCAAGTTATGCTGCTTTCAAGCGCAGGTAGGGGGTAGTTTTCTTTGATGTTCACCCCACATACGCATTCATATGGTCAGTGTGGCATGAGTGTAGTTTATTAGCTAGCTGGCATCTATCGGTTTTGGCCTGTTTTACCAGTGTTTTCAACTCATACGAAACAGAAATAAAATATGGGTTAATTGTACATGTTTAAAATCCACTTTGTCATAACCATTTACTGTATTTATACAGTTTATCTGATTGATTACTGTTGTTTGACTCCACCATTATGAAAATAGCATTAACATCACAACTTCGAAGGGCATTCTGGAGGGAAACTTATTTTTCCCCGATAAAACTGAGACCAGTTGAAAGCAGCATTATTACAAGTAACGGTTTTGAGTATACTGCCCGATTCCTTAGACACTGAGTGCGTTTACATGCACTCAATAATCTGATCATAATCGGATTTCTGCAGTTATCTGATTATTCAAATGGTCATGTAAACAGCATACTCCCATTTCTTGGATCGGAGTAAGGTCTAGAAATCTTAAGAAATCTGATAAAGAGAGCTGGATTTTAGCTCAGTAATCAGATTTCTCAGTGCATGTAAACTCTTACTCTGATTTCTTTCGGATTTCTCAGTCTACACATGTGCGAAAACAGACGGCAGTACCAGAAATAAGCGAGCTGCATGGCGCAAGATGGCAGCAAAACACTTTTGGAGCAAAACTGAAACTGACTACATGCTTGACGAAATGAAAGATTTGAGAAAATATTCTTCATGTTCTTGATGAAATATGTTCATATTTTCAGCTAAAGTGGCGCAAAGTTTTTAATAAAAAGTTTGAGTTTTACGTTACATTAACGTCACGACTTCTTCTCTGAGTTTATTGACTGGTTGCAAAGAGAAATCTGATTAATGTCTGACTTATGTAGACCATAGCTAAACATTGATTACTCAAGTGCATGTAACGTGTTGATCGGATTACTGACAAAATCAGACTTTCTGCAGTTATCAGATCATTAAGCGCATGTAAACGCACTCATTGTTTTACGATAGTTTTAAGAAGGTTTATTTTAGCTAAACCATAATTTTGAAATCTTTTCGTGGTGGAGGGGCACATGCAGAGCGTTTATCAACATTACATATAAAAACTCAGAACACATGCATAGGTTCACTGGAGGTTGTGGATGGTAAAAATGGCTATATTTATGTTGTATACATCACATCCCCTAGTTCCTATCACCACCACTGTAAAGAAATCTGAATCAGTAAGTTTTTCTAAAATAACCATTTCACATCAGACCACTCTAAATGACTCTCACGTCTGGCCACTGAATCATGCAGAAGAATCGGTGGAATTCCCCTTTAACATACATGGTGGCTAGTTCACCAGCTAAATAGCCAGTGTGATAGCTGGTTTGTAATACAGCAGGTTATGATTGCTGTAGTGTAATGTGTCAAAACAGCTCAGACATACAGATAAACAGTGAGTGAGTGAGTGAGGGAGAGAGAGAGAGAGAGAGAGAGAGAGAGGCATATCACATTTTCCCCCGTGCAGCTTATTAGCTAAGCACCAAATGATGTGAGTGTGTGCGAGATTGTACTATAAGGGTCATATGTTTCTCAGCCCCCTACTAGACCAGCTTAATTATTTTCCCACAGTCTGTGTGTGTGTGTCCTGTTCAAGACAACTCTCAACACACTTATCAGCCGACCAGCGTCATCTGTCCATTTCTTTTTTTTTCTTCCTTTTCTCTTCCCTACATAGTTTGGCAAGCTGCTTCGCACCAAAGTGATTCTGGAACATTAGAAACATGAAAGAGGGAGGAAGTGACAGAACGAGAGAGGGGGAGAGACTGGGGGTTAGAGGTAGGAAAAGAAGGTAAGTGACATGGAGAGAAAGACAAAATCTCTGTATAAACACTGTTTTTAACATGTTCTCACCAATTGGCCCCATCGTTTGAGCTGTCGTATTACAGTATTAGTTCAAGTGAAGCTTGTGAGATGACCTTTGGAGTTGAGAGGAATCGAGTCAACATGAATGTAGACTTTGGCAGCCAAACTTGCCTAAAAATCATTGTCATCTGACTCGGTTCCATTTTCAACCCCCCTTCCCCAGGCCCAAAAGTTTGTAGAAACCTGCTTATCCATGTTAGAACATTGCTGAGGATTTGATTGCATTCAGCCACAAAATCATTAGTGAGGTCAGGTACTGATGTTGGATGATTAGTTTTGGATTGCACGTTCCACTCCAACTCAGCTCAAAAGTGCAGAGAATGCAGTTCCACTGCTCCACAGCCCAATGCTTGCACATTACACGGCGTGGATGCTAGATTAGGTTGCAGTTTGTGTTGTTTCTGCTTATAAATGTGTATCATCAGTTTGAAGATTCAAGATTAAGAAATGTTTATAAATAGAAACAACAGAAATTGTGAATGTAATCTGTAGCATCCACATGCCTGCATAACATACCTTCACATAAAAGGGTAGTCAGAATTTGGCCTGTTGTCTTCCATGGCTGCCCCCAGTGTGTAGCTACTCAGTAAAGTTTTGTTGTATTTTTATAGTTCACAGAGAGTCATACAGTATCATAAGCTGCGCTAAGTCTGTGCAACCTTAATGAAGACCTTAATGGGCTTTGAGCAGGTTGAGAGACGTTTAAACACTAAACATGTATTGGCTGGGTTATTACAACTGGGCACTCAATATATTTTAATTTTTCATAACTATAACTTTATAACATATACCCAACAGCTTTATTGAACATCACATTTTATGTCCAAATCTTGCAGCTCTAGTCATATTAATAATTTATCAAGTCTGTGCAACTTAATGAAGACCTTAATGGGTCTTAAGCAGGTTGAAAGACGTTTTGGCAGAATTGGGTGACTGTTGACTTCTAGTGTTTCTTAGCAACATTAACCACATAGCTCCAGCGATAAACAAAAGAAGCAAAATTTAAACACTAAACATGTATTGGCTGGGTTACTACAACTGAGCATCTAATATATTTTAATTTTTCATAACTAGAACTTTCAGTTAGCAACATTCAAACTGCTTGATGAAGCAAATTTTAATGACTACTGATGTTACTTTGAAAGCAAGCTAAAGTAGCTAATTAGCTCAGGAAAGCTAGTGTAACCCTCCTCGCCTTGTCCTGCGAGTACCCACTTATGTAACATGCTATGCACTTCTGCGTTGTGAGGAAATATTAAAAATAGTCTTTGAATAGAGAGAGAGAGAGAGAGAGAGAGAGAGAGAGAGAGAGAGAGAGAGAGAGAGGGAGTGTGTGAAGAATGTGGCCTGTTTACTGTTTCTCACAAGCTGCCTGCCATCATCCCACATTGCTAATGGTGTATTGACATTTTGATGAATGGACATCTCATCACATTTTTCAAAACGTGCTGTAAAATTTCTGCGAAAACGTAGATTTATAACCAAACCACCAATAAAACACAATCCATCTCTGGCCAGTGCTACACATATATCTCTCTAATGGGGCAGCAATTTGCACAAAGCAGGATGAAAATCCTGTCACCACGCAATAATGCAGTGATGCTAATTTGCTTGGCCCGTATCCTTCAATTTAATAATAAGCAGCTTTGGAGAAGACTTGTCTTTTTGGAAGAAGCTCAAGCAGCAAACACGAGCGTCACACACTTGCAGTAAATCAAAGCAACAAATGCTAACCACACATTCGGACAAAATTGCTTTGACGTTAATGCTTTTGCACCAGCCAAAGTGACCAAGGCAAATCTCTAGACAAAATAATGACCTCAGGAGCTATGCTCAGCCAAGTTGCTTTTTTGAGAGGTTGATAAATGGGATGATTACATGATGTGGCTTAAATGGAATACTTTGCTCATAATTGCTAAAGTGGAGGTGCAAGTTAGCATGATCTTATTTTGTAACGCCTATATAGTTCTATTAGCTGTAATTTGCTGATAGCATTTCTGGATAAAAACATAATTTGAAATGGCGGTAAACTACAGCAGACATGCATTGTAATGTTACGTCTTTAGGTTGAACTTTTATTAATGAGGAATGAGAAGATACCAGACGTTCTTGGCATCAGTACGGATGAAAAACATGTACATATATTTCCTTATAGCCAAAATACATGAGCAATATATGCCAGTAAATGTAATGTCTGTCAGTATGGAAGAAATACTGTATATTGGGGCTAATTAAAATAATTGTTCACTATTAATCACATTTATTTTATCTGTTCAAATTTGAACTGAAAGATTTTTTCCTTTTTGAAAGCAGTGCTTTTTGTTACAGCAATATAAGTGGACAAAATAATCTTTCTACTGATGCCTAGTAAGAGCAACAAGTGGCTCCATGTTCCAGCTAATGAGTGTATATATCATATATATAATATACAGTCAGTGGTTCTACTCCTTGCTGTCGTTCATGCAGCTTGCGGATTCTTGTTACAGTGGAGGCTCTCGAGGGGAAACTGGAGCTTTTGTTAGTTTTCTGATTGTTGATTTACGAACTGGTGTCCTTCAAGCACTGTCCAGTGTAGTTTGTGTAGTCTGCTGAAGGTATTCCTTTAAAAGCCATTTAAAAGCTGTATTTAAATGAGAGGGCTACAATCGGGGATTAAATCATTGCAAAATAGCAAAAGCTTCTGCCTGCACTATTACGAATGGTTTGAAGGGTTAAACTAGGAAAAATGTGTTAAAAACCAGTGGCATTTAAGGTCCGCATGATAAATCATATTTTTATTATTATTGCAATATATGTTTCCATGATAAACACTTTGTTAAGGACAGAACAGACTAAATTACCTCACACCCTCCAAACCAAAGTGGCGTATTTAAATTGGTGGGAACATAGCATTAGAGGTCTTGCATGGGGCTTGAACACTGCTGTCCCTTGTGGAGAGCAAGTAACTTAACCATTTGGCTTAATGGCCACTGATAGAGCATGTAATGTCAGGGCCAGGATACCAAGTGCAGAAAATAGAATTAAAAAAACAAACCTGTAGGCTTATATGGAAAATATATAAATATACATTTATTTGGTTTTGTAGCCTGAAAAATTTTGTAGCCTGAAAAATTCTAACCATTTTCCTAAACTGGCATTCAGATGTCTTTTTTTTTATTATTATTTTCTGAAGCACACTTCATTGTTGTCTATGGAGCGACTCACATAGCGACTGAAAAGTACTCCTACAGCCTGTACAATGCTCTTTTAAACCATGCATTTAAGCTGAGAAACCGTCCACTTTTCTGCGGAGTGCTGTACGCCATCCATAGCTGGCTAACCAAGACTGAGAATGCTTTCTCTCTAATCACCAATGGATGAGAAGCTAGTTTTGGCTGTTTTTGAACTGTACAGCACTTAACACAAAGATTACTACAAACTGAACGTGAATAAAGAGTTTTCTATTTTCAGTCAGTTTTGAAATGTTTATTACTCGTCTTTGAAGTGCATCCTGCATCTTTTTTTGGCATGAGGCGCAGTGTGCCTGTGACATAAAAATACAAAAAAATGTGTGAACACTCTTACTGTACACAGAAATGTCCTTGCAGTCCTGATGTTTACCCAGTGAGCAGATCCAGGACATCCAATAAGAGGCACTCTATTTTAACAAGAATTTATCGCTTCATATCATCGTGATATCCAGCTTTATTGAACATCACATTTTATGTCCAAATCGTGCATTATCATTAATAATTTATCATGTTAACTTTCACAGGCCTAAAACATACACCAATGAGTTAAAACATTATGACCACTCACTCACAGGTGAAGTGAATAATGTTGATTATCTCAAAACACACATTAAAGTTTGGGATATATTAGACAATTAGTGAACAGTCAGAATGCAGGAGAAACGTGCAGTCGTGAAGATCTGAGCAACCATGGCAAGGGTGGACTCGTGATGGCCAGGCGACTGGGTCAGAGCATCTCGGAAATGGCAAGGCTCGCAGTTAGCAGTGGTGAGTACCCTCTGACAGTGGTACCTGGAGGGACAAACCAACAAACCACGTATTGACAGGGTGTTGGGCATCCAAGGCTCATCGATGTGCGTGGGAAACAGAGGCTGTCCTGTCTGGTCTGAATCAAAAGAAGTGCTGCTGTGGCACAAGTCACAGAAATTTTTAAAGACGATTACAGAGGGAGTGTGTCACAATGCAGTGCAAAACACCCTGCTGCGTTTGGGGCTGTGTAGCTGCAGACCGGTCAGAGTGCCCATACGAACCCCTGACTACTGTCGAAAGTGCCTACAGTGGGCATGCAAGTGTCAGAACTGGACACTGGAGCAATACAAGAACACAAGTTTGTGGAAGGAGTGTGATGCAGTGGACAGTGTGCCCGGACATTCACATGGAAGTCAGTTTGATATGTGCCACCTACTTGAACATCGTTGTGGACCAGGTACACCCGTTCCTGACAATGGTATTCCTCGATGGCAGTGGCCCATTTCATCAGGATAATATGCACTGCCACACTGCACACGTGGTTCAGAAATGGTTTGAGGAACATGATGAAGAGTTCAAGGTGCTGCCTTGGCTTCCACATTCCCCAGATCTCAATCTGATCGAGCATCTGTGGGATGTGCTGGAACAAGTTCGATCCATGGCGGCTCCACCTTGCAACTTACAGGACTTAAAGGGCACCTTCAGAGGTCTTGTATAGTCCGTACGTTGGTAAGTCAGAGCTGTTTTAGTGGCACACAAGGGCCAACAGCATATTAGGCTGGTGGTCATAATGTTTTGCTTCCTCAGCATATATTTCCTCACATTCAGAAAATATGTGCAGTACATATGTCTTAACATCAGTTCACAACTATGCTTGTCTTTGCTAAGCTTGCACTGCAAGTTGCTAAGCTAAACTTCTAGAGTTGGGTATTCGGAATGCTTTGAATCATGTTGTGAAGTGAACTGCTCAAATGGTGTAGAAACAAGCATGGTCATTTTCCACAATTTAATGTCCTAAATCTCTCGGTCTCTCTGTGTGCATGTGTTTTTTAAGTGAATTGTGCGTGTGATTCTAGACACAGAGGCTGACCTCTCTCAGTATTGATTATTTGCTGTCTCTGGCCTGTGGGGTGAGTTGCTCCCCTGAGCCTTGGCATCCTTAAACATGGCAGATCAATGATCCTCCAGCAGTCCTCACACCCACACACAACCAACACCCGCACACATGCATACGTACACACACATACCTACACGTCCATGGTTATAATAAGTAACAAACTGCACAAATGTAAACATATGTACATATCATAGCTACCATACCAATCCAATACAAAAACAGTATTAACATGCAAATACAAAGATTGTTCTACAGGATTGAACAGCGATGTGGGAAGGTGTTTAAAAGTGAGGGTGCTGTCATTTTTAGCAGTGCATACGTGACATGCACTTTTTTTTTCCATTTGAATGGTTTGGATAATTTTACATGAATTACAATGTATAATTGTCTGAATCACCAACCGCTGATCCCCACCCTGCTGTCTCTGCCCTCTTTTACTGGACGAATATTGCGCAAATGTGCTGAGCATTGACCAACTGGATTGTTAATACGAGGTGCAGAAACCGCTTGTGTTACACCTGTAGTCAAGCCACACTCACCTATCTAGCAGGAGATTATTACTATGGTGGATAAAATAGATGGAAGTGGGAGATAATTACATTGGTTGAAAAATGAAATTTTTAAAAACAATATACTGTACGCCCCCAAAGCGGTCAACAATTGGTTTGGGAAGTGATTCAAATGCAGTGTTAACAAGTACATGGCTATTTGAACATATTGCTGTTGAAAAAAAAAAAAAAGTAAACTTTTAACAATAACTACATCATTTGAGCACAGCAGCTCCCCTTTTTATTATATGAAAATTTATGAAATCCAAAATTATATAAAAAACTATCATGCTGAATATGTCAATGTTTCAAAATTGCTTGGATTAAATTGCTTACATTAAATTGTTTTAAAAGTAAAGAACTTTGCTTTTTTGCCTTCTCCTGTAAAGCTGACATTTGTTTACACGAGAAGTTTTTTTTTGGACAGCAAAAATATATATAAATAAAAATATATAAATACAAACTTTACTCTACAAAAAGCACACATAGGTCTTTGCTATGCTCAAAATATTTTAATAAGTTCCATTTTTTTGTTATTTTTCTGTTGTTATTTGTTGCAGTTGCAGTTAAACAATCCTGACGTCTGGGGATGCTGCAGCCCCCTCAGCACCCCTACTTCCCACGTCCCTGAGAATGATGATATAGGGAGGTGGATGGCTGGATGGAAGGATGGACAGATGGATGACAGAGAAAGGGCAAGGTGGGCGTTTGAGTGAGATGGAGAGAGGAAAGGAGGGTGGATAGAGGGAAGAAGACAGATGAGTGGAGTGAGAGATAGTGGGATGAGAGAAAGGTGACGAGAATGCTAAACAAGGTGCAAGAATGAGTAAATGAAGACAAGAAGAGAATCCCGCTCACTCTGACCTTTAGCTAAAAGCTAGAAAAACATACAGGACCAAAGCAGACCTGATGCAGGAAATAGAAATCCGTCCACCAACCTCTCCATCTATGCTGACTTCTTTAACATCCTTTCTGTTTGACCATCTGTCCATGTACACTATGTGTCCAGAAGTGTCCAGACAGCTCTTAGTGATTTCAGCTACTTCAAAATGCATCTATTACTGACACAGGTGTTCAGTTGTACATACAGCTTGTATAATCTCCATAGAATAACATTGCCTATTGAATGGAATGCTCTGGAGTAGCCGCACATAAGCCTAAAGTTGCCTTAAGCTCATAATCGACCTGTCCTTGTTCTGCCTATCAGTGATTTCAGGTGAATTGCTGGATGAGCAGGTGTCTGCTAAGGCTGGGAGGTATAACGGTAATACAGTAATACATATGATGTCCTAAAATGCCAGTATTCAAAAAAAGACAATATTATTTCAATGTTATGATGCATCAAATTCCTATTTCATGTCAGAACAGCTAAACACATTCCACCCATGTATATTTTAGAGGGGTCACTGAGTGGTGTTGTGGGAGGTGGGATAGGTGGCACTCATAGAAAGTGGGAAAAAAAAATCAAAGCCAGGAAAACCTCAGAAAAACTAAGCATGATAGTAGCAATGGCTAAGAGCTAAACATCACAAAAGACATTTGATTTCAGCTTTCACACTCACTTTGTGTTCTCAGATATCCTCTAAACATGTCAGTTTAACATCACCTAGCTGGAACCGAGTCCGAGCTGTGATGTTTGGCAAATTTGGCTAACTAAGCTAACATTATAGCCCCAAACACTACAGAAGAGGTTTGAGTTCAGCGTTCTGTCACTCCAGCACCAGTCACTTGACTTTTACTCGCTCAGACATTAGTTTTTTATCATTTGCACTTGTATCAGCAGAGTAGCAGTTAGTTAGAATCAAACCTGTACTGTAATGTGTGGCACTGTTTGTGTCTGTAGTATCATGCAGTTTGTAATTGATCTATCCATGCCCTGCCTATCAGTGTGTTCTTTCTTAGGATGGACAAGCTTTACAGAAAACATAGGCAAAGATAATGAAAAATTGTGGCATGCATTTTTCTAAAATACCTATATTTAACATAAATTATGGAAAATGGTATTTATGATATAACTTAAATTCATTTTGTATGTCGGTGAAAAGTCACGCTGTTATAATAGATCAGTTGTAGTTTTATGACATGCAGTCAAGCTAAAGTTAGCATGGTGGCTAATTTGTTATTTTCAAATAGCTACAACAAGATATTCCAGCTATGTAGCATAGCATTTTAAATGGAAACTCAACCTTATGTAGTGATTCTTACCAAAGAGTAAAATTACTCATTATGTTGAATAGAAATTGCGCTACTGTTCTGTAAAGTTTGTCCAACCTCAAAACACTTGCTACAAAAGAGCTCCTTTGTGGACAGGCCATGGATATGTCAGTTAAACGGTGATGTCCCTAAAAATGTGGGCACTATGCATAAATCTGCTTTGATTCCTGTGTGATTCACCCAACATAGATGCAAATGTGTTGGATGACATTGTGCTCTTTAACCTTATAGTCATTGTTTCTTCTGTTAACCAGTTAGCCAAATTATGCATTGTATCCCAGACATTTACAGCCATCTCTATCATCCTTCCATGATCTATCAGTCCATTCATCTCTTCTGAGTGTGTGCGAATGGCCTTGTGGTCAAAAGATCTGGTCATCTCAGGGGACAAAAGGAGGGGGGAGGAGAAAGAGAGAGAGGTTGAGGCTGTGTGTTCTGTTCTGAAAGAGCCCCTTCTCTCCTTGCTTCACAACAGCACTTGTACATTCCCCATTTAGCTTAGTTCAAGAGCTTTTTTTGTACTGGTACATCTGGAACATTCAAATCACTGCGTTACGTGAAACCACGGGTCTGGTGAAGAATCATGACCAGTGGTGAGAGATCTGTAAAAATGCAAAAAGGCAACGCTGTTTCATCAGCAAGACATTTAAACACCTCTTCAAAGGTTAGGAATCACTTGGCATATATATAGTTGTTATTTTATGTTACAAAACAAAAGTAAACATTTTATTTATATATCACTTTTCTAAGTCGGGGTAAGTCAGACAAGTGCTTCACAACAGTAAGATAAAGTAAATAAAATAATAAAACAATATAAAACAATATAAAACCAAAGACAGTACAGCTTCAACCACAAACAATACAGGGAACATTAGCCGTATACAATCTCAAAGACTTTGGCATACAGATATGTCTTAAGCCTTTTTCTCAACATCTCAGACATCTTAGACTCAGCAAGTCTAAGGTCTAAGAGCAGAGTATTCCAGAGTATAGGAGTATATGCTGAAAAAGCAGTCTCCCTTCCATTTTCGCTTTGTTCTAGGGACTACTAAAAGCCCTTGACTAGAGGACATCAGTGTCCTAACATTAGAATATGGCACTAATAGAGATATAGATATATTCTGGCCCATCACAATGCACAGCCTGATATGTTAAAACCAAAATTTCAAAATGTACACTAAAAGTAAGCCAATGCAAAGATGCCAAAATAGGTGTAATATGCTCCCTTCTTTTAGTCCTTGTAAGTACCCAAGCTGCTGCATTTTGGACAAGTTGCAGCCGTGTCATAGCTCATTGACTAAGACGTAAATAAGGCATTACAGTAATCACGACATGACGATATAAAAGCATGAATAATTTTCTCTGTATCCTGAAAGGAAAGCATTTTTTCTGATTTTAGCAACATTTCTCAATTGAGAGTAACAAACCTGTTCCAGCTTTGTTACATGCATTGAGAAATTTAGTTCTGAATCAGAAATGACGCCCTAATTTCTAGGATAAGGATTTATCCTTGTGGCCAGTGAACCAAGCTCCTTCTTTAGGTTGCTGGTGACATTTTAAGGGCCCAGAACCAGTACTTCTGTTTGTTCCTCATTTGACTTATGAAAATGACAAGCTATCCAATCCTTAATAGCTTGAATACATTCAGTAAGACTTTCTAATCTACTGAAATCATTCCTCATTCCTCTTTACAGAGAGATAAAGCTGTCTATCATAATATTTTATATTACAAACGAATATTTTATATTACAAACAAATTATACACAGAAGAAGAAATACACAGAAGCCTCTACAAATAAATAACTATTTTCAATACTCTTTGCCTTATTATAGCTTTCATTCTTTTCAGAAGGCTTGCTTTCAGTTTTTCAAAGAGATCTGCAGAGATATTTTTCCACACATGTAAAGTTTAGTCTTAGAAGTTGGTTGCATTTTCTGCTTCTCACGATCCAAGAAAATCCCAAACACATTCATTAATGTCAGTTGTTCTGAAAACACCAGCAGCTTCTTTTCTGACTTGCCCATGTTCTTATTTGTCTGGATACTTTATCTCAGTAAGAGCTTCTTGACAGCCACAGATTCTCTCAAGCTCAGTGTTGAGTTGTCTTCTCACAGAGGAAGGATGGACAGAAATATTGTGCCATAATGTTGTGAGGAGTATTTTAAAATCATTTCTAAGATTTACTCCAAGAGTTTGCAAGCAAGAGTCTGACTTGTGTTAAGGGGAAAGCGCTATGTGATGAACTGGACCATTGGTCTTTACCAGCATGCAAGAGAACCAGAAGCAGTACTTACATGTAAATGAATGTAAATTAAACTTGTTTCTGATTAATGAAAGTAAAATACATTTTTAGCTGTTTATCATGTCTGCAGCACAGAAGTTTTTTTTTTTTTATTTTAATTGAAAAGCTTTGCCAATGAAATGGGACAGTCTGCTGCAGCCGCACATGAGCCATGGTCACCATGCTTATTTCAAAGCATCAACTAGAGGGGTATAAAGCCCTTGAGTTCGAGTGACATTTGCAATCCAGAACTAATCATTCAACATCAGTACCTGAGTGATGTTCTTGAAGCCGAGTGCAGTCAAATCCCCACAGCAATGTTCTAACATCTAGTTTAAAGCCTTCTCAGAAGAATGGAGGCTGTCACTATAGCAAAGGGGGACAAACCCTCTATTAATACTCTTGATTTCAGAAGAAATGATGGATGAGCAGATGACCACAGACTTTTGGACATCTCACTACAACTCATACGTTATAGTGGGGACGCAGTCAAGACTACCTTTATCAAGTCAAAGACTATGACTAGTCAAGATCAAGTCAAGACTGAGTCTAAAGAGGGCAGGGACCAAGCTAAACATAAACAGTTAAAAAATAAATAAATGAATAAAAAGTGAACCCAATTATTTCAGACAATTATATCACCATAGCACAGTTGCTGTACTCTTGGGTGACTTGGGTGCAGCTGCAATTAGCTAAGGAGCTAACATAGCAGTTTGAATGTTGGCTAACTTGTCTGCCACAAATGGTAAAATCACAAAAATAAGACCATAACAGTCTGAGTCAAATCTCTTTTTATGTGTGTATTTATAGCCAGTGGGGAGGAACGTGAGAATATAACACAGAAAAAAGAAACGTTGGTTGAGCAGAGGTCTAAAAAAAAGTACCATTTTTTTTTACTGGTAGTTGTACTCAATCAAGACCAGAGACTAAATTTGGTGAGACTGATGGCCGAGACTGACACAAGTACATGTTCAAATATTATTGACTACAGCACCTAATCTGATATCCGCACAGGGTGTGCATGAACTGAAGTTAGCAGTCACGCTGTATGGCCCTTTTCACATCATGGTTTTACAACCATCAACAGAGTTTAAACACAGAGGGTTTATGGCCAGAGATACAACTGCCAGTAGATTCTTACAATATTAATGAAACCTTGAAACAGCTCAGAATCACCACATCCCCTCTCTGCTTCACTGAGAAT